GGACCATGTACGTGTGTTGTGTGTGCGTGATGTGTGACCATGTACGTGTGTCGTAAGTCACTGTTAAGAATGGCAGCACCTTCCCAGTCCGGGACTCGTAACCTTAATCGTTATAGATTTCACTATAGGTTATAATTATGATAGAAATGAAAATTTACCGACTTATCTTGCGAGTACGTTGCGACCTTCAAGTATGTGTGTCGCAGATCCGTGTCCGTGCGACTCGCTACTACGCGACGCTCGTTCACATTCGCGCGCCGGGAAATTCTATTAGCGACTTTTATTCTGCGCTGATATGATTTGCATGTCGCATAATTTCCCCTGACGATAATAGCCTAGATTGGCATTAAGTGCGGACACGTTTCGCCGGTGTGTTACGTCGTAGAGACGGTGGAGGTCTGTCGCCGCCAGGGTTTGACGGAGCGGCCTATACCGGGGGCAGTGTTTGGACGTATTACTCTAATTCCCTGCGTTAAGTGCGGACACGTTTCGCCGAGGCGGCAGACGTCTGTAGACGCCAGCGTTCGACGGAGCGGCCTATGCCGGACATTATGTATTGTAATGTGTTTGGACATATTACTGTGATTTGCTGTAATAGAGACTCTGGTATTTAAGTGATCAGGTTGCCTCAGTGCACAAAAGCTCACGCTCGTTGTCTGTCTGTGTGCTCGTTTCTATGGTAAGCGTGTCTCTACCCAGAGCCGTGTATTCCCGGGAGGCAGGCTCTATAGCTTCATCTTCTTCTGTATTCTCTATTCTTTCTGTATTTTTTTACGAGTGCTTTGCGTGCATGCGTTATCGTAATTTGCGCTCATCGCGTGAACACATGACACTCTAATCGGGATCATGTGTCGACTCGTTATGTCACTAATAATCGTGTTTGCAGATTCATCACGCTCGCCTAGCATCGCGCATGTTGTTAAGAAATGCCCGTGTTTTCGCCCTGCGTCGTTGCGATGTATATGAATTAGCTTGTAGTCGGAGGAATTATCGACCGTGAACTCTATGAATGATCAGGATTAGCTCTAGAACTATAGCCCTTCGCTCTGCCACAGGCCTGTGCATGTAGCAGAGCGAAGGGCTATAGTTCTAGCGCTAGATATATACGGTTATGACCGTTGTGTGTGTGTGTGCGTGTGTGTGTGTGTGCGTGTGCGTGTGCGTGTGCGTGTGCGTGTGCGTGGGCGTGTGCGCGTGTGTGTGGACCTGTAATTACAAAGTTTTGCATAAGTCGGCGAGTGTGCGTGCATGCCCGCAGTGCTCGGGCTCGATCGATCTCGCCATGTGTTTCCCGCGCGAGTCGCGTCGCTCTAGTTGATTGAGTGCCTTATCTCTCTCTCTCTCCCTCTCTTTGTTTTAGTGTTGGAGGTGGACGCCGCAGCCGCCATGCTCTCCTTAAGGCATGCTAGCGAACGTAAGTACGCCGCCGTGCATCGTTGCTCTCCTGTCGTCACCCTGCCGCGATACACACGGTGCCCTGCGGTACACACGATACCGTGCGGTACACACGGTACCCTGCGGTACACACGATACTCTGCGGTACACACGGTACTCTGCAGTACACACGATACCGTGCGGTACACACGGTACCCTGCGGTACACTCGATACTCTGCGGTACACACGATACTCTGCGGTACACAGGGCTGGCTGCTCTGTGTTTGATTCGCGTGTCGATAATGCGCATCTAGAATGAAGAGGAAGTTTTGCATGCGAGTCGACCGACGCGCCGGCATCCGAAAGAGATGCTGCGACAAAGACGCGCGCAAATGGCTTCAGCGGCGGCGGCGGCGGCGGCGGCGGCGGCATTGTGACGCAGCGTCGGCGATGAATTCTCCGTCGTCGCGGCGGCGCATAGCTCGCTAACCGCATTGTCGCGTGAGCGCGGAGGTGCTAATCAGCGAATTCCTGCGATGCTGCTGTTGCCCGTGTGCGACCCCAGACACGTGCGCGTGCTGTAGGGGAGGAGAGGCAGGCAGGCAGGCAGGCAGGCAGGCAGGCGGGCTTCACTAACACGCCTGACCGCCTGACACGCTTAAGAAGCGATCGCGTGCGCGGTGCGGGGGGGGGGAAGCGCGGAAGAAAAGTCGAAATGCATCTGCTCGTGAGAATGCTGAAATGCGGGGAGAGAGGTATCCCCTGCTGGTTCCCTCAGTTATACGCTCAGTCAGCACCTGCCAGGCAGGTTCACGCGTGGAGGAAATGCTGGCTGCCTTCACTGCGAGAGTTTTGGGGATGAGCAGTCTCGATGCGCTATTATATTGAATTCTTCGCGTAATTCTTCTCGCATGTTTTCTCGCGCTGTTTAAATATCCACGGCTGGTTTGTCGCGCTGCTTGCGCGCGGGCGATTGTATTGAATCGGCGTCGAGATATCGCAGATTGAGAAATCGCGCTGATGATGTGCTGCGTAGAATGAGAAGTTGTGAATGCCGTCGCTCTCGCAGCGAGTCACCACCCTGCCCCACGCTTCTGTTGCAGGAAAGAGAAGCCCTTACCCGATACACCTCTGGAGAAGAACTGGAGATGGAGATTGGAAAGTCAAGCAAATCCGGTAGGGTTTAATTGCTTCTCGGCCGTTGTTGCACTGCCACTGACCTGCAGTCTTACTGCTGTCACGCTATCACTTGTTAGGGTTAATTAATTAGTTTATTAAATGTTATAAGCATATATAACGTGCTCATTTGCGAGTACAACGATAATGTTAAAGCGCTGCAGATTTTAACGGCGACTGTTAGCAAAAGTGCAACAGCGTCGCATGATATCAGCATGATATCACCTAGAGATGGATTATGCGTCATCTCTGTAATCGCTGTCACAGTGAACGACTTGCCCCCTAAAACCAGCTGATCATCGCGACGCACGTGAAAGAAGATTTCATCTGAACTAAGCCTGCCTGCATATCCACCTGTGTAATATACTACGCGCTGCCAGCATAATCCATAAGTAGCTGGCTGTACACTTTTGGAAGAGCGCGCGCGAGAAGAAAGCGGTTGCCGTGGCAACTGCGTTCGCGCGCGCCCGCGTTACCGTGACAACCCTGCTGATGCTCCCCCTCCCCCTCCTCCGTGCGTTGCAGGTCTTCCAAGCTGAGCGGCACGTCGGTGGTGTTCACACAGAGCCCGAGCGAAGATCACACCTACAGCATCACGCCGCAGCCGGAGAGCGGCAGCGACGGACGCGCCTCGCCAGCGCCCTCTTCCATCGACGACGAGTTCGACTTCGGCTCGGACGCGGACTGTGATAGCGACTGCGGCGAGGTGAGCGCCTACAGCGACTCGGAGCTGGCCGAGGTGTCGCCGTGGCGACGCTCCGGGGGGTGGGTCGACGACGACGACGAGGAGGAGGAGAAGAAGAAGACGGAGGAGGGTGCAGACGCGCTGCTCAACCTCGCCGGCATCACGACGTCGACGATCGTGCCGCTGCGCGCGATCAGCCCGACAAACAACAACAACAACAACGACGTCGGCATCAAGGTCAAGTCCGAGCCGCCGGACGGCGGCGGCGGCGGCGGCGGCGGCGGGATGACGAGGCCCCGCTTTGCGTTCACCTCCGGCGACTGACGGCGGCGGCGCCGCCAGGGGGCGCCGCGCGCGCACGGCGAGCGCCGCCAGAGGGAGTCGCCGTCGACGAGCGCTGGCTGGAGGAGCATCACGACTCTGTGATGAATCGTCTAGCAATCACATGCAATACATCGAGAGCAGTCACGTGTGTCGCCACCTACCGGGACAGTCGCGCGCGCGCCTGAGCGAGCGAGCGAACGAACGTAAGCTGCCGCCGCCGCGCGACACGGGTGCTCATAGTAGTCTACCGGTTCTGGGCTGGTGCAAACACATCTATTAGCGGGGGTTGGGATTACAGTTGGGGTTGGGCGATGGGGGAAGGGGAAGTAATAGGTTAACGCTGGTAGCGCGGCGTTCATCGTGGCACGGAAGCCGGAGCGAGGCTTCGAATGCTCATGTGTCGGAGAACTGCGCGTCTGCGACCTCGCTGCAGGTTCGTCAGCGACGTATCATGACGGGCGAGCCGGAATGCGGACACTTGCTGGGAGTTTGCGACGATGACGTTCGCCGATGCACGGAGCCACTCAGACTTCGAGGGGGGTTTGTGCCATTGTTTCGTCGGCCGTTCTCTGCGACCGAGGCGTTGTCGTAACGACAGCGATGGTCGCCACGGCAACTCACTAGCTGCAGCACCGCGTCACGCTTCCGTCGTCGTGAAGGCGTCGACGTTACCAGTCGTCTACATCGTAGCATTTTGCATTGTTTTTTTAAGAAAAAGAAATCGGCAAGTGTTCAGCGGCGGATCGAATACGAGAGTGTGACATTCGGACGTTGGACGAGGGAAATCGTAAAATTGCGTGAGTTCGCGGGAAATTGCGTAGTTACAGTACACTAGCTCCATGGTGAGCGAGGGCATCAGTGACACCGACGGGGGGCGGGGGCCATGTTGCCTCACGTGAGTCACGTCTAAAAAAATAATCGCCACCTAAAGTCTTCTGAACCGAGGGAGCGTAACGCCGCCCGGCCGCATGACCCTTACTTGCGCCCGCCAGGTGGAGACGTATTTCCTTTGCAGGTTACCTATGCTCGTTGTCGGTGACTCTGTCGGAAAATCAGGATGACCAGGTGCCGGCTGCCACCGCGTGGGCACGGCCGAAGCATCACAAATTGCTGCGGGCCTGCCTGCCCACGATGTAGGTTTTTGAGATAATATTGAGTGAATAACTGTCAGTGATAGTTTTCACTCACACGGCCACCGGCAAGCGCATTTATTGGCGACTAGGTGGCGCCACGTGACTGCGTGCTCTGGTCGGCCGAGAGGTGTACGGTTTTCTTTCTGTTTCACATGATGTGCTTAGACCGTCTTCACTTGCTCCTCGTCTTAAGGTGGTTAGTTGTGATTGATCGTTGTATTGTGTATATGGCACTGCCATGTGATATAAGCGCCCTCGTCGCGCCTCGGAATGTGATGGGCACACGACAAGTGAAAGTGCAGGTTTGTGCAAGAATAAATACAATATCGAACCAAAACGAAGCGCGACAAATGTATCGTGCGAATATTACACTGTCAATTCTGCATTGTGGGCAGGCATATGCCAGCTGCCGTACTTGCAACCTCGCGCAACATATAGGGCTACACGATATATGCAATAGCGTATACATTCTGGGCCCATTGAAGAAGGCGAGTTGAGGAATTCTGTATAGAATGCAGCCAATACAATTAGCGTGACTCGGTCATGTTTTTCTCGCTGGCCAGCACAACCAAGGGGGCAGGTCGTGATCACGGAGGTGCGAGGTAAATTTTTGTTTTCGATTGTGTATTCTAGCTGATTTCGTGCCCAAGTTGATAGCGTTGGCTGTTACTCAATAACTCAATAAAAGCTCTTCCACATATCAAAATGACAGGGTAGTAATAAGTAGTAAGGCGATGTATTCCGAATCCGGAGAACGGGGATATTCCGCGTGTTTCGATTGTGATTTTAGCAGCACGCTCACATCGCGCGGTAAGGTGGTGGTAGAAGGAGATACGAACGTCTAATTCAAGGGTTTCCTGCGCGTGTAAGTTATTCACTCGTTAGCAAACTGACTCGGCCGATGCCCGAGCATTGCCGATCAGAAACGGGAAGGCACGAGCGTGGGGGGGGCGACAGCGTTACAAGCGCCTTCGCCTGTGCGAACGCATATTCTCTTCACTGGGTGTGCCAGTCCATAGTTAGCCTGAAAGTACTATAATATAGTAGACTCAAAACTACGGAGTACTCGATCGTAGCTGGGCGTTTCGGGCATATGCAAAATCCCCCTCACCGCACTGTCCTTCCCCCACCTCCATACCTCCACACTTCCACACCTCCACACTTCCACACCACTTCTCCTCCACACCTCCCCACCTCCACACTTCCACACCTCC